GTAAATAACATTTTATTAAAATGTACTTTTATCGCAAAAATTATTTAAAAATTACATCTCTTTATACGACTTATAACTGTGAATACATTTTATCCAAAGTGATGCTTATATGCATGTAACACATCTGCCTGTATAGTAGATGTTTGTTAATATATTACGTAAATATCAGTTATGACTGGAAATTTATTTTGTTTCAAACGAAACGTATTGTTACAAATTTTAAGGCATTCAAGTAAGACTACAAAACAAACACCGGCTACGTATTGTTCGGAATTGGTTAGGTATATGTAATTTGCGATTAATAACAAATGCAATTGAATTTTTTCCTCTGTTTCTTACATTGTTAATATCTTCAGAAAAAATGACTACGAAAATTTTTTATGCACATTGTTGCTATCACCTGAAATTAGAGCAGCTGCATTTGCAATCCGTGCATTCAACGTTGAAGTGGCTCAAGTAAAGGATCAAGTGAGCAATCATATGATAGGAGAAATGAGATTAAAATTTTGGAATGATGCATTAAACAATACGTACAAAGGAAACCCTCCACAAAGTCCTGTGATGTTGGAATTACATAGGGTATGATTTCTTATCTTTTTACTTTTTATTTCGAATATTTTTACAGTTCTCTCATTAATTAAAGATTATAATACTTTTAAGAAGATTCTTTACAGATTTTGCAGAAGCATTCTCTGTCGAAACACTACTTTAAGCGATTGATCGATATAAGACTTGAGAAGCTTCATGAATATTTATTTCATGACATCGCCGAGATAGAACGATATGCAGAATACAGTAATTCTTCTATTTACTATCTTTTACTACAAGCGCATGGTATAAACGACATGAATGCTGACCATGCTGCAAGTCATCTAGGCAAGGCTCATGGCATTGTTAATTTAGTTAGATCAGTCCCATATAATGCCATGAAGAGAGTGAATATGTTGCCGCAGGATATATTAATGAAGCATAGCGTGTCTACAGAGGCTGTATTACAAGGTTCCTCAAGTAAAAATCTTGAAAATGTAATATACGATGTAGCTTCTTGTGGAAAACTACATTTAGATGCTGTAAGTATATGAATGGGGGAATACTTGTATTTTATTTGACTGTAACACAATCTGCTTATTTCAGGCAATTTCTCTTAAAAGTAAGGTAGAAAAAAAGGGGAAAACAATCTTCTTACCAATAATTTGTTTGCAAAAATATTTCGATGAATTAAGAAAAGCAGATTTTAATATCTTTGATGCGAGATTACAAAGAAAAGATAACTTACTTCCCTTACATTTGTACTGGAAAAGTTGGACATTTAGCTGAATCTAGATTTTCATTAATTTTTATGTAAATTTACATTGCATTTAGAATTAAAATACTGTAACACGGATCGAGTATATTGTTTCCTCTGTGCCTCCCTTCATTTAAATGATTTATATAATATCTATGTCTATGATACATAATTTACTTATACGAATTGAACAACGTTTTTCTAAAATTGTATCTAAAATAAATAACTTTTCTATACATTGTGGAAATAACCGGTATAACTTTCCGAGTCCGTTTCTGTAGAATTTAAAGATAAGTCTCCGGTACTACAAGGAATTGTCGGTATATTCGAGCCTTGAACAGTAAAACCGTGATAATCTTCCTGTTCTGATTCCATGGTACATGGTAAATTCAAGTGTGTAGATACTAATAATTCATTGGATTTTTCTTGTTGCGTATCGAAATCACTTTGCGCATCCAAACTTATTAGACTAGTTTCGTCTTCTGCTTTGCTCACATCAAAACTGTCGTCACCAATAAATGAAGGAAAATCGAAGGTGGGAGACGGTGTAACACAATCTTCTATTAAAGATGTTCTTATATCGTTCTGTATCATGGAATTGTTAACTGCTGTAGGACAAACCTGGAATTTGTCATTAAAAAGTGACTGTTTGTACATTATAGACTCGTAGAACATAAAAATAAAATGACTCACTTGTGGGACAATGGGAGGCGGCAATTGGTAACTTTCGATATCTTCGCAATCCAAGTTAGTTGGTAATCTTTGACTGTGCGTAATTAATAACGGTGTCCTCTCCAAAACTGTCTCCACTTCTGTTTTCACATCTTCTTCAAACTGGAGTATCTTTTCTTTTAAATTCAATGCTTCGTTCATAATTTCCGTAGTTTTGGCCTTCAGTTCATCGAGCAACGTTATATCTTCACACATCAAATGGAGACTCTACGTAAATGTTTTGAGTTGTACGAAAAACTGATTTAACCCTTTTTTCTAACGAAAAATGTACGATATTTACTTCGCATATCATCAGTGCAGATTCCCATGTGTTAGCGGGTACACGTTCTCCAGACATATAAGCATTAAAATCTTTTTCGTCCATGTTTAATGACTCTGCTGTTAAGTTTTCAATAAAAGATACGGCACAGCACTGAAATACAGACACTTCTTTATATTACAATTTCATCCAATTATACGGATTCCGTTCCAGAATCCCGTTCGTTTATATGAATAACTTTACCAAATTTGTGAAATAATATCCACCTTCTCCTGTCATTAATCTACTTGCATTACAGAACCTAGTAATAAAATTGATATTGCTTTTAAGGCGAGCAGGATTAGCTTTTAAAACAATGAAGATTAAAGCTGGAAGGAATTCATCTGCAGATGCAGGTCCACCGACAGATTGTTGTAACATTAAAAATATATTTCGACAACAATAAATAACACAAGAAAGTTTTTCTTGTGGTGCTTTTGCAGAATCTATATTTAGTAAATCTATAATAAATTGAAAAGTCAATCAATCTTAAATTAATTCAATTGATCGATGAAATTGTATAACATACCCGTTATGGAAGTGTAAACGAGTTCCCTAACTTCAGAGCTGGTTTCATGTATCCTACATTCTAAATTCTTTCCACTAACCCAATTTAATTGCCGGATTCTATAATGAGATTTTATTTACGTATTTATTGTTAACTCCATAAATCGTACATGATACAAACCTTTTTTGTATTGCTAAATCTTTCTCTTCATCGTTTGTAAACGGCGGACAAAAGAGAATTCTATACAGCAAAGTCATTGCATATCTTTCTACATAATCTAATAATTTTTCTTTGATCTCTGGTGATATATCTGGGACAACAGAATTACAATTTTTTGTAAATATCTTCAAGACGCTTTGATAAATGAAATTAGTTTCAATTTTGAATACCTGAATACTTGGTACTATTTTCTAAACGTTTAGCAAACATTTGATAAAAATTTTGTGTAATCTCCGAAAGTTCTTCTATTCTCTTCACATCCTTGTTTTGGAGAATTTCAATTATAAACGAATGCATGCATTTTCTAACATCTTTCTCTACTGGCGTTTTAGCAATTACAGCTATTAAATCACGATTTTCTGCTTTTACTTTTTCAAGATCAGGATTGTCTTTTGTCAATTCGTATAATAACTCCTGATATCCCTGTGCTTTAAAAGAATATTTTCAAAATCATAAGAATTCAAGTAAGTAAATACATATTATAAGGTAGAGGTATACCTTTGGCAACTGGTTTCCGAAATGAAATATTTAACAATGTATACTTTTTCTGTTGCCCCTTTTTCTCTTCATACTTTTGATGTGCACTAATCGTACTTTTATTAGAAGATGCACTAAAATATTAAGAGACAAATATATGTGTAAATAGAAAATACTTCAGTTAATTTAACATAACGTAGACGTTAAAAATTCCGAACTACAATTGACAATCTGCTTCTTTAATTACTTAGTGTCTTTACGTAATATAATAAGTTAAATACATCAATTAATAAACATACTGATCATGCTCCTGTCCATGAACATGAGATTCCGTTTGCGATCTTTGTTTTTGCAAATATTCTCGATGACATTTACTGCAATAACCTTGCCATTCGGCGTTACCGTAAAATCCACAACCATTTTTACACTTAAGATCAGCTTCGTCGATTCTCAAAGTTGGTGTCTTCGTCGAGTACATTTTGATAAACAATATAAATAGGTATAAGTTAACAATTAAATCTTTTTATATATAATTTACATCTTATACGTAATCCCTTCGATTCCCAATTCCCATTACTGATCTTACTGATACACAGATGCTCGTTTGTTAGGGACAAACTTCAGATTCATGATAATTATACATGTGTTGCTGACTGATACATGCATGCGTACAAACATAT